GCATAACAGAAATGTTCGCTCAAATCAGTTTTATAATAAATGCATAAAAACGTGTCGTATACAATTTTTATTTCAGCTTGATCATTAGAATCGTTTTTATAAGTGCATATACTTTAATAAAAAGATTACATTTCAAAATACTCCATGAAGTCTGATGATTCATTTGTACGTGTATGTATGTGGACACACCTAGGTATGACATTTCTGCAAAATTGATGTTATTTTCGCACTAAACTGACTTTGGAAGGTCGGCATTCCCACTAGACGTATCATTTTATCATCAAAAAGAAGTTCAATAAATTCAGAAAGATATTGGTTTTTATAAAAATATATATTAATGACAATATTCATAAATATTTATAAATATACAATAAATAGATATCGTTCTAATTCATAAATAAATACTCCAAATACAGCCAAATAAAACATTTAACAGATAAGATTATGTGAGACAGAGACAAATTTTTTAAATATTTTTTATACTATCAGCAATGCTATCATACTAATATATACATAAACATAAGCAATTGCAGGCGAATTTTATCTGCTCTAGTTATAAGTCGAAGTACATCCCACGCGACTTGCTATGTGAATCCAATTGAATATAACTAGAAGGTCTTCGATATTATTGTCTTCGATATTAACCTTTTTTAAGTAAATTTTTCATATGCATTAAGCTGTTCTTCGCATATCTGATCAATTTTCAAATTAATTTTTCAATGTATGTATACCAAAGCGTGTCACTTTTCCATTTACTTTTCTACATGCATTTTATTCAAGGATAATGCATATCATTCTGCGTAAACAGAATACAACATATATATTCATTTATTTTCTTTAAAAAATATTTTCTATTTTCTGAATAATATTTGTATATATTATTCTACTTAAATGTTTTATAAATATTAATTGATAAAACTTGCAATAAGAAAAAAATTGTTTACTTGACTAAATTAATTGTTTATTAAAAAATTTAATATATATTTAAGTGAAATATAATATATTTGATTTAAATACATATATTCTTCATCGAAAGAGATAAAGACAAATTAAATTAATTTAATCAAACGAATAATTTTTCTTTCTCAGTGTGATAAAATAGAAATACAAAGCAATCTTTACTCGATTATTATTGATTGAATGTAAAAAAAAAAAAGGGAAAAAACTAATAGGCGGGACTATGACTGTAACGATAAAAGATTAAATCACAGTAATGGAAGAATCTAGGTCGCATTCAAATTATTTGTAAGGTTCATGTGTGGCGTAATCGACTCATTTTCAGTTTCCGCGCGAAAATACAATATGCTGAAAACGAAGAGGCATCCGGTACCGAGTTATTGACCCGTAATTCACACCGACATTTAGCGTTAAAGGTCGCCTAGCTGCTTCCGAGTCTCACTGATGAGTGTTCCATATCGTTGCCCAAATAAAGCGATAGACATCCTAAAATTGTCCAGATGTACCGCCCACTGCTGGAGTGATACAAGACATTTAAAAATGCGTGATACAAAACATTTAAAAGCGCGATTTAATTATATTTTATTTTAATTTGATCAGAAATAAATTATAATATTCCTTTGCACTTGCAATTAGAATTTGTTATACCTTGGAATTAAGTAATAAAAAAATAATTTTATTAGCAATTAACTTCGTAAAATTTTATTTTAACAGAGATTTCATTTTAGAATATTTAGAAATATTAATTATTAAAAAAAAATATAATTATAAAATTTCCACAAAAAAATGGTAATGAATCAAATTTTTTATGAACCGATAGTTTCCAAGCTTATAAAGTCATGATTAAAAAGTATACTTTCGCGAGTACTTCTACGCGTTCCATTAGGATCATTTAACGTATACAGCACAAGTCCTTTCACGCCTCGAAAGGTGATTCTAACTAATTAGAGATTTAACGAAGTGTGGAAGAAAGACGAGCGAACGGTAAAGCATCGAGTGTTTCGAACTTAACGAGGAATACTCGAGCTTAGTCCTTATAATCCTACGATTTTAAGGCAACCTACCGTGCGACTTTCGCGTAGTTTGATACCGTTTCACCTTCTAGTTTCGTAATAGCACGCGAAATGAAAGAAATTAGTCCTGCCACATTGTACTCGTTCCTTTTCTCACGCGGTGACGCGTTAATTTTATTGTCGCGGAGAACGCGAACATTTTGAGGTCATCATATCTGTAATAGCTGAAAACGTTATACTTTCGTGTTCCACATATAATCGAATAAAATCATTACTAAAATGGAAATAAAACGAAGAAAATTATATAAGGATTATCGAAAAAAATTGCCCTATTTATTTTATACGCTGTAT